TTTTCTTTGTTCTGATTTATACCCACATTTTGGGTAAATACCTTGGTATTTACATTTAAGTACCCAATTTACCCTTCGGGTATTTACAGTTGTCCCATCACTACTTACGACCACTGGCCCTCGCCACCGCAAGCCCTGCAACTACTGACACCGAGTCATCCAAGTGGCGCAATTGTCGCCATGATATTTGTTTATTTTCATTCATTACCCGATGAAGTGTTGTTATTGTCGGTCTGCACTCATGTGTCTTCGTTGACACGCGGCATAACATACACATGTAGGTTTTGTTTGCTTGGCGGAGGCGGTGGCGGCAGATTCGCGAACGAGGCTCGTTAAGTAAGAGAGGTGAAATTAGACTTATTTCCCAATGGATCTGCAAACACACCTTCCTAGCCATGACAGCGCAGGTGTATGCCATGGCGTACAGTTGGCATTGGTGGCCCCATCGCCTCGTGCATTCTTGCTGTCTAATTCATTTGGTTTTGTTGTTTTTCTTTCCGTGTTGGATGAAGCTATGCATGTGTGCAGCTAAGCGGGCGTGAAATCTTGCTCAAGTACTCGTGCGTGCCGCCGCCGTTAAGCGAAACAGTGATTGTTGTTGTTATATCTGTTTGTGCTTTCTGCTACTTTTGATTTGTGCCTTTCTCTCTGCAAACAATGAGGAAGGAAATAAATTGACAAATTAGGCATTCTCATCTACAGCAAAATTCGCTGCAACTACACTCACGCCTCCACTCTCCACATGTGTTCATATGTATGAGTGTATGGCGTTGTAACAAGCCACAATATAGGGAAGCGTTTTCGGTCTGAAAGTGCTGGCGGTGACAGCTTCGCCTCGTTGCACTTCGCACTCCAGTAGTTTGCTGTAAATTACTTAAATTGAGTAAAGATTTTGTCGTATTTTTCAAAAATTAAAACCTTCATTGTGTTAAGACAAGCAACTAAGCAATTACTAAGTGCAGCAATATCGCCTTGTCGATCCGCATTATTGGCTTCGCAAGGTACTCTAACTCCGCTCTACAAGCTAAAGCCGGTCTCAGGAACCATGAATGACAATTGCTACATATTCAATTTGAGTTCATGACCGGCGGAGCTTCACAATATCAAAAGTGTTCGCTTGTCAATCAAAGTCGCTTGTTACTTACGCTTTTTCTTCTTCTTTATTGGCGTGGACACCGCTAATAGTTTGCGCTGGTCCACGTAAAACAAGAGCATAACGATACCACGCAACTGTTGACTCGTCAATGGTGTTGCATTGTCAGCGATCACGACTATCAGCGGAACAATGTCTTAAAGCACGCAGCCATAAGTCCATAAGCTTTGGCGCAATCCGCTGACTAAAATGCGAAGCAGAAGCGTAAACTTAAAGCAGTTCTCTTGACGGCTGCAACAGTAGAGAGTGAGTCGCTGCTCAAGGCCATGCCATCGTCTGTCCAAAAGGCAAAGCGTTCCTTTCGCGCGCCCCTCGATTCAATCCGACGCAAGCCAGCGATTAGCGGATGAACTGAAGTAGCAGCGACCACAACGCGGCCAGAATTAGCGTGTGACCCGCTCAAGCATCGTCGCTTACACAACCGGCGCCCACTCTAACGAGTCGCGGATGATGCTGCAGATCTTGTGATTATTGTGTGTAGAACGCGATTTGGTTTGCAAGCGCTGAGCTTGTTGTTGTCGTTAATGGCTTTGGCAGGTGAATGGCTAAAGTGGTTCTTTGAAGCCAGCAGTGGCGAGTTGAAAGCACGTGTTAGCCAACTTCGCTACAAATTGCTTGAGATTTGATCAGGTTATTGCTGTTGCGGTGAATTCCGTTACATGCTACATGCGTCTCATCTTGAGCTACTCACTTAGCCATTCTAATCGCCAATGCTGCACGACTGGTGGACAAAAGTTGTATGGGAAATTAACCTACAAATATTTTATATGAGTATTAGGTTGGTTCTAACAATATGGAAGACAGATTTGGGATCTTATCTCTTAAACGTATCGATGCAGTTAGGACTGCATCCAGAGCCTCATCAACCGTTCGAAGTGTTCCCTTAATAGTAATCATGCTGGTCATCCTCAACTGCTCACATGACCACTTGCCGGGGTCGCCAACGTAAATATTAAACATGTATCTATAAGCATACCCTCATGTGGTCCATGCATGTGCTAAGTGAGTTGGTAAGTCTCGCCTGTGCATTGTGTTCGCATTCGTATCTCGTTGTTGCAGCAACACATACGCACACATAACTTGCTCAGCTGAATTTGAAAACGAATTTGAAAGTATTCGGTTACGGATCGTGTTGCGGTCAACCGAATTGCGTAACTTCTAATTAACTTTCGAGTGCGAGTTGCAACAGTAGTAACAAAAACGACAATAACAACACTTGAGACAAATATCGTTTTTAATCGCACACACACGCTCACTCATGCAGGAGCAGCCAAATCTCAATCAACGAGCCAAGTATTATTATTCAATGTGCCCTCTAATTACAGGGCCATGTATGCCCTCCTTTGAGGCAGACACAAAATCATTGTAATATTTGTAACCGGAAGCTTTTGGGTGCACATCAACAGTTGAGCTGAAGATTTATTATTTCCTGGTATATTTAGCAGCCCTCTTTCTTCTCTCATATGTGGGTAAAGCAAAAATGGAGGGTCAGAAGAAAAGACGAAAAGAAGCTTGTCATCTCACAACCATTTCAACTATGCAAATCTCCCACCTAATCTAACCTCAAAGATAATTTGAAAATGCAGCGTTCGTTAGAGCAGAGGTACGCGATTAAATTTTTAAATTTTGTGTTAAACTCGGTAAATATGCAACAAAGATGTTTGTTATGATCAAGCTGGCTTAGCCAGATGTAATCACAGGTGACGAGTCATGGATCCTTGAGTAAGATCCCGAGACAAAGAGCAGTCTTCCGCACATCGTCGGCGTCTCCTCTTCCAAAAAAAAAGGGAAAAATGAGCGAAGCCAAAATGAAAACGATTTGTCTTTTTTGACATCAAAGGCATCGTCCACCATGAGTTTGTTCCTCTTGGACGAACCGCCAACGCCAAGTTTCACGAGGAATGGCAATAATTTTGAGACGACAGAAGGGATCAAACGAGCATGCGCCTCGGCTCTCAAGGCTCTTAAGGAGAATGCCCTCCGGGACGCCTTCAATACTTGGTTCAATCAATTTATTTAAATCGACTCAGTCCTATTACTTAACGGACAATCCCTGTATCGTGTAAGCTACAGATCCATCGCCTGTGCTACAAGTGTTGTTAGGAGAATACAACCATTGTTCTCTGTGCAACATGTTGCGAGAGTATAAAACACAAAAACTAAATCAATAAAGACAACACGTTGCTTAAAAAATTAATCAGCAAAAGCGTAACAAAATGGACTCAATAAATATTTTTAACACCGCAATAAAAATCTTACAAATGGCCATGTAAAGTGTCAGTGGTCGGATTTTTTTTTTTTTTAACAACTCTCTCACATTAAAAGCCGAAGGCAACACCAGGCAATCGGATACCGAAACTATTTCGCAAATTTTGGATTTCGCAAGCTTCCTCAGCACATTTGCATATGGGTCTTCGTACTTTTGGCTTTCAGCGGTGTGCTCTGTCACCCACTAAAACCAAATTACCCAACACAAAATATGCTGCTCGTAATCAAATACGAACTCGAAATTGTTGAGTGTTGGACATTTGCATATCTCTTTGTCCATCAACATATAAATACCCGCTTTTAAATACACACTTTTGGTGTTTAGTGTTTTAGTGTTTTAGTTTATCTTGTCTCATTTGCTGCTCGATTATGAGATTTTAAATCAGATTCAATCTCAATGACGGCGCGGGTGACCTTCCATCTGCTAGTCGCTATGCGATGCGTCAGATGATCACTTTTGGGTGTGAACATACACATGTGTTTCGGCGAAGATTTGTTGATTTCTATTTGTTTTTATTTTTGTTTCAATCCAAAAGGTCGAAGAAGAAGTAAAAGTAGAGCGACAAGTGAATCATTGGTGAATGCATAATTTTATATGAATTAGTGAGCTTTTTCTTATTGTCCATATACATATGTACGTAGCATTTCCGGATGTAAATTAGACGGAGACTCGTGGTATGGATGACAGAATCTTTAGTACTTAATCTTTAACAGTAGAAATAGAACGCAGTTGTTGGCCTCTGAAGACTCATCTAAGTATAATCGGAGACATCTTACTTAACAATGGCGACAGCTTAAGCGATACTTGGGAATTCAGAGATCGTCCCAAAACACTATTAACTGAAAAGAGCCTCCTTAATATATTACCCGTAATTTATTACATCGCTTCTAAAAATTGTTGTATATAAATACTGAAGTGCCTGTAATGACGTAATATTCCAAATTGGTTCCCTAGACTCCTTTTTTGATACAAAAGAATGATTCTTCTATGTATAATCCATTTATTCTGGCTGCCCCTGTATTATTATGTAATAGAAAGCCGTTGAAGCTTTAATAACGGCATATTCCATTTCAGCCCTCGTTCGTAAGCAACGAAGACGAATCCAGCTAATTATGTGCTGCCTATAAGTGCACCGTAGTATTTCGGAGGAATAATTTGATGACGAGCTAAGTTCAGACATTTGGCATTGTGTGTTGGAATATTATCTTTCACAGTAAGTCAGTAATTTGCCCATTGGAGATACACACTTACAGATAATTGCCTAATATGATGTACAGTTAAGTGGTGGTACTTATTTTGCCAGCAGATCCCTTCCTTACTTCGCCAACGTTTAAGTTGGAGTATGAACCAATCAAAACCGTTCACTATTGTTGTTGGACGGTCCACTGTTATTATACTAATTGGAACCCTGGAAGCTTTGTCATCTCCATCATTATTGGAAGTTGCTAAATCATCGGAAACGAGCTTTCGGGATGGCAAACGTTTGAATATTATTTACTTGCGAGAAACTTGAAATTCAGTATTCCAACAAGGTTCCTCAACTACAGTACTAAAAAATAACATCGAAATAGCATCGAAATGTTAGCGCTCTCAAAATCACTGGCGTTCATACATTTCCTCTCGTGGGCGCTCGCTTTCAATGTTCAACAGGAAGGAGATAATGTCCGCAATCAAAGGCTCATCGAATTCCTTTTGGAACTGAATCATAGACATCAGTACCAGACTGTCTTGCTGGAAAACTGCGCAGCACACTCTTTCGCCAAGGACATTTGGATAAAAATGGAAACCCCGATGTTACAGCTACGATCTGCAACTCAGTACCAAAAGGAATTGAGAATACTCTTCAACCACAATTTGCTAGTCATGGCGTGTGTGGAGCGCAACGTTGACTCATTCAGTACAATCAGTGAACTTGCGACACAATTCCAGCACATACGTGATACACATGTAATTCTATTGGCGGAAGCTGACTCAGAGGTACACCAAGAACAAGTCGTCGAAAAACTCTTTCGGCATTGCCAAATGCTGCAAATTTTAAACGTCATCGCACTTTTTGGTGATTTTACGAGTACCCATTTGGTGTTCACGTTCGACGCTTTTCCCACTTTCAAGCTGAAGGCCATTCCATCCATGCCGTTTACGAACTATTTCCCCGACAAAACACGCCAACTCCACGGTCATCCAATCTACACAGAGCCCGATCAGAACCAACCGAGATCGTTTCTGTATCGAGACGTCAGTGGCGCACTGAAAATGTCCGGTTACATAGGCAAGCTGGTGCAAGCTTTCGGACAACATTTAAACGCCACCTTGCGTTTTCCGCGCCCCATTAACATCAACGAAACTATATATCAAAGAGATCAGCACAACAGCACGCGTTCGGGCGTCATCGACTTTGCAACCAGTTTAGGTTCTTACAGATTCTTCACAGCCGTTGAGGAGTTCACATATCCTTTCGAATTCGCCAAGTGGCTGATAATGCTGCCGGTAGAGCGCGACCTCGAAGTGAACGAAATGTTCGTGTACATTTTTCAATCCGAGTTATTCTTGTTTATCATTTTGATAGGCGTTGTATTGGGATTTTTCTTAAATGTATTTGAATATTTTCAAATTCGACCACACAGTTCGGGTAGAACATTTTGGGGTGTACTCTGCTGTCCTGGACAAATCTTTCGTGGCATTTTAGGCCAAACATTTCCAATGTGTCCGCACAACAATTGGCGAATGAGCTTTGTTTATTTTACAATATTCCTTGTGGGACTCATCACCAGTTGCCTGTTCGCAGTGTATTTGAAGACATTTCTTACCCAACCGCCTACTAAGTCGCGTATTAGCAACTTCGAGGACCTCATAAAATCGGACATTCGTTGTCTTGTTTATGAGAAAGAGGTCCCAATTGTTATAAATCTCATTGGCGCTGCTGCCTGGTCACGTTACCAAGACGGATTTGAGATAATATCGTCTTGGTCAAAGTTTTTGTCACTACGTTTGTCTCTAAACACAACCTACGGTTATACTGTCACCTCTTCATTGTGGTCCATCATCCAGTTGAAACAATCGCTCAGACGTCGGAAAATCTTTCGACTCGCCACCGAATTTATGTTGGACGACTGGCTCTCCATGGGTATGCCTATTAACGAAAACTCGATATACAAACCGGCGTTAAATCGGTTTATTGCGTTGGTTAATGAAGCGGGACTTATCAACCATTGGCAAGTTATGACCTATTACGACATGAAAGCGATTGGTGCCATAAATTTGGATTATAACGTGGATGACTCACGGCAGTACAACATACTGGTTCCCAGCGATTTTTACTGGATGGCCTGGATGTTTGGTGTGAGTTATAGCCTTAGTATCGCAATATTTGTATTCGAATTATTTATCCACAAGTTTGGTATATAATCACGAAATTACGAAATTACTAAACTACGCCTAAAATAACTGTTGATGTGCCTGTTAAATAGACAAAATATTTTAGGAAAATACCTAACATCCTGTAGATCGCCCCTAAATTGAAATTGGTACAGCACATAGCAGGGATCTCTGGCACATATGTAGTACACAATATCCAGTACTCGGTTACTATCAAAGATAAAGAGATGTCCAACTCCTCAATTGTTAAACGTCGAAACATTATCTCTGGCCGAAACCTACTGAACTTTGACAGCTAAACGAATTCAGTAAGTTTTGACGTTTCGCGGTTGGAAAAGAGGGACGACCAGATTGAATTCTTAACAAAAAAATATGTAAACGGCGGAATTTGTAGCATTGTTCAAGACCACTTATAAACAATGAAAATTAAACAAATTCGTGAAATTTAAAGGAATTTGATGAAACGTTTTGTAATTTGAAGCATCATAGTATTATTTTCAATCGAAAATGTTTAAAAACATTTAATGATTGAGAGCTAACAAGCTTAAATTGCAAAAATCAGTTGTTCTAATATACTTTAAAAAGATTTAAATAGTTTCTCCATATAATAAATGGCCACTACATAGTAATTTTTATTCGTACTAAATGTTGGTTGTTTTGATTTAAATGCCCAAAAATTATTATTTTGTTCAATCTGGTCATAATGGAAAATGTTATTAAAAACGCTTATTTTGAAGCGCTCTCACACTGGAATAAACTGGATATCCCTTTATTCCTGGTTATTATTGTTTCACAACTAAGCCCAGGCCACTTTTACCCTGATAGCCTTTTGTGAAAGTGTACAGAATACCTTTAAAATATAAAATAGTTATTTTCCCTTCTTTAACCTAACTGAAATTTGTGGCAGCACTACTTTTACATAAGTATAGCACAGATTCCAACCCAAAAATTTACACTAGATGGCCCTACAACCAGTGTGAGAGTTCAATTCTTTATTCTCTTATGCAAATTGATATTGATAATTTGAAAAGAATTTGAAAATATCCCTCTCTTAAGTGTCAGAGTTGCGAATTTTGCTACCTTCATAAGTGGTTAAAGACCACACATAGGAAAAGTGCAAACTAATGCAAATTTCTTTATCTGACGTGTCTTTATGAATGGGCAGCACTGTTCATGAGTCAGCGAACATTCGCTTCAGTGTTGTATTTGGATAGCACTAAGCCAATATTAAAGATAGCATTAAAAATGGAAAATAATGAGATTCAATTTGATTCCATAAATTACCTAATTTTTCACTCATTATATATCTTTCCAGCGAATGTTATTTAGCTTAAAAATAGTAAGTAAATACCGAATAAAGGTGAAAATTTCTAAGAAGAATGTCATTTCACTCTTATGATCTTGCTGCTCAAAAGTAGAACTCTGAAATTTTTTCCGAATCGCAGCTGCGCTGCCTGAACGCGACTCCCGTCAACGAACCTGCGACACACTCAGGAAAAAGAATCGTTTGCGTTTGCTGTCTGCCGCCTTCGTTGCAAAGTGAAAAGTTTTCCTCCGCGTTTAAGTGATTTTGATAAAAATAATATTTAAAGTTTTCCATATATTTAGTGAATTAAGCATAAAGTGTTAAAAACCAATATGGCCGATTCTAAAGGGTGAGTGTTAAGACCATAATTTTCGTTAATTCTAAAAAGCCGACTTTGTGTTTTGTCAAACTGAGCTGCTGCTGCAGAGGTTGTGACTGCGAGTTCACTGCTAGCTTCAATTTCGCGTTGTCATCACCGATGAAATATATTTTAATTTGATGAAATGTCTCATAAAATAGCATAAAATTTATCAAAATTAATAGTTTTCCTACTATTTGATATGCTTTTAAATTAAAACTTTTACTGAAGACTTTGAAATAATAACCTCAAAACAGCAATTTATATAGGCAGTGCTGCAAACGGCCTGCTGCGGCATCAACTCAGCCTTTCATACGCCATTTGCTCTGGTTGTAATTACCCATGCCCATGAACAAGAGTTGGGCTATCCACTGTACACTTCTAAACGTCAAAACGCTTGAGAATCCACCCTGTTTTACAAATTTCAAATTGTATTGAAATATCTATCAGAATCATTTAGTCTTCAAAAGTTTTACCAAAATTTTGAAGGCACCGCTTTGAAGCGAATTTTGAAATACTTTCAAACAAAGAAAATTGTCTGCGCAATTGTAAAGATATAAACTTTCAAAGAAAAAATAAACCAAAGAATGGCTAGTGGTAGTGGTAATTCTGGAAGTGGAGGCAATAGTGGACGCCATCATGTGCCGTTTCATTGGAGTCCTGATGCCGACGACGATGTCTGCGATGATGATTTAATGGACGCAGATCAAGATTTAACAAATTTTGTACATAAATACCGACAGGAACAAGAACAGAGTTTGAAAAAAACACAGGGTTCATTATACTTGCCATCGACAAATTCGACGGGTCCAAATAAGAAAGACGGCAAAGGCGGCGAGCCTTCTGGAGCAAATTCTGGACCCATTTGCGCTCAAGCTTCTAGTGACAAGCGGTGTGATAATCTTTACATAATTATATAAAAATATTACACAATTCGTTCATGCCACTTACTGATTTAAACTTTTTTTCCCCAACAGTGATGATTTAGCTACCGCAATTCTTAAGCGTAAGGACCGCCCAAACCGTTTAATCGTTGAAGAAGCCGTCAATGATGATAACTCCGTGGTGTCATTGTCGCAGGTATAATGATATATATATATATCTTAAGTTAATGCCGAGTATGTGTTTTATTTTTATTTTATTTTTTCAAGAAGTAAATTCTTCATTTATTTAACCAGTTGAGTAATATTATTGTTATTTCCCCGCATTGCATAGGAAAAAATGGACGAATTGCAATTGTTCAGAGGCGATACGGTTATTTTGAAGGGCAAGCGCCGTAAGGAAACCGTCTGCATAGTGTTATCGGATGAAAACTGCCCCAATGAGAAGATCCGCATGAATCGTGTTGTGCGCAACAATCTGTGTGTCCACTTGTCCGACGTGGTCTCCATTCAATCGTGTCCAGATGTAAAGTACGGCAAACGTGTTCGCATTTTGCCTATCGACGACACGGCAGAAGGTGTGACTGGCAATCTTTTCGAAATCTACTTGAAACCATATTTCCTGGAAGCTTACCGGCCCATCCACATGGGTGACAACTTCATTGTGCGCGCTGCTATGCGTCCGATAGAATTTAAAGTTGTTCTGACCGATCCGGAACCGTACTGTATTGTCGCACCTGAGACCGTTATATTTTGTGATGGTGATCCAATTAAACGCGAGGTAAAGTTATAGGAAATTAAATATTTATTTTTAGTTTAAAAACAATTTTTCTCTTATGATCTATAGGAAGAAGAGGAATCGCTTAACGCTGTGGGCTATGACGATATTGGCGGTTGTCGCAAACAACTGGCTCAAATCAAGGAAATGGTGGAGCTGCCACTCCGTCATCCTTCGCTTTTCAAGGCTATCGGTGTGAAACCACCCCGTGGCATTCTCATGTACGGTCCACCTGGTACAGGTAAAACGTTAATTGCACGCGCTGTCGCTAATGAGACCGGTGCATTCTTCTTTCTTATAAACGGCCCGGAAATTATGTCGAAGCTTGCCGGTGAATCAGAGTCGAATTTGCGTAAGGCTTTCGAGGAAGCTGAGAAGAACTCGCCTGCTATTATTTTCATTGATGAAATCGACGCTATCGCTCCTAAGCGTGATAAGACCCATGGTGAGGTGGAACGTCGTATTGTGTCGCAATTGCTCACCCTTATGGATGGCATGAAGAAGAGCTCTCATCTTATAGTCATGGCCGCCACCAACAGGCCGAACTCAATTGACCCTGCGCTGCGTCGCTTCGGACGTTTCGATCGTGAAATTGACATTGGTATTCCGGATGCCACCGGTCGTTTGGAAGTTTTGCGTATTCACACCAAAAATATGAAATTGCATGAAGACGTCGACTTGGAGCAAATTGCGGCTGAAACTCACGGTCATGTGGGTGCTGATTTGGCTTCGCTTTGTTCCGAAGCTGCTTTGCAACAGATTCGTGAAAAAATGGATCTCATCGATTTGGAAGACGATAAAATCGATGCCGAAGTATTAGCCTCTTTGGCCGTAACTATGGAGAATTTCCGTTATGCTATGACCAAGTCGAGCCCATCAGCATTGCGCGAGACTGTGGTAGAGGTGCCCAACACCTCCTGGTCGGATATTGGTGGTTTGGAAAGTGTGAAGAAGGAGTTGCAAGAATTGGTGCAGTATCCAGTAGAACATCCGGATAAATTCTTGAAATTCGGCATGCAGCCCAGTCGTGGTGTGCTGTTCTACGGTCCACCTGGTTGTGGTGAGTTTAGAAAAACTTTTTTATTCCACCTTGAATATGAGTATACTTACTGTTCGCATTCCGCACATAGGTAAAACTCTTCTTGCTAAGGCTATTGCTAATGAATGTCAGGCTAACTTCATTTCGGTTAAGGGACCCGAGTTACTTACTATGTGGTTTGGTGAGTCCGAAGCAAACGTACGAGACATTTTCGACAAAGCACGCTCGGCTGCTCCTTGTGTGCTCTTCTTCGATGAATTGGACTCGATTGCCAAGGCACGTGGCGGTAATGTAGGCGACGCCGGTGGGGCCGCTGATCGCGTTATTAACCAAATTCTTACTGAGATGGATGGCATGGGTGCTAAGAAGAACGTATTCATCATTGGTGCAACCAATCGTCCCGACATTATTGATCCAGCTATTTTGCGTCCTGGCCGTTTGGATCAACTGATCTATATTCCACTTCCCGATGACAAGTCGCGTGAAGCTATTCTTAAGGCAAACCTTCGCAAGTCACCACTGGCCAAGGATGTCGATCTTACATACATTGCCAAGGTGACACAAGGATTCTCAGGTGCTGATTTGACCGAAATCTGTCAGCGTGCCTGTAAGTTGGCTATTCGGCAAGCAATCGAAGCCGAAGTGCGTCGGGAAAAGGAGCGCGCAGAGAAGCAAACCATGGAGGTAAGACCTGAGTATGACAGAAATATTTGAATTCAATTGCTGACTCGAAATTGTCGCAACATTTAGATGGACGAAGACGATCCAGTCCCGGAAATCACACGTGCACACTTTGAAGAAGCGATGAAGTTCGCAAGACGTTCGGTGTCGGACAACGATATTCGGAAATACGAAATGTTTGCACAGACTTTGCAGCAATCGCGTGGCTTTGGACAAAACTTCAGGTAATATCTCACCCATTGTTTACTGCGAGCGGGAACCGGTTAATTGATTTATTTCCTTTTTATCCACAAAATAACAAAATAGATTCCCGGGTGCCAGCAGCACTTCCCAAGGTTCTGGACCGAATGTACCAGCGAATCCGCCAGGCGACAATGGTGACGACGATCTTTACAGTTAGATTTTTAGTTTTAAAATCAATGAATATTAAACAAACCATTTGTCAAATTGAAGTATGCTTAAACAAGACAAACAACAATTTCTAATTTGAATAAAACAAATAATAATATAATAAAAATAAAGAAAATACAACTAAGTAAGATGTTATCTAACGAATCACCGCCTCTAAAGCGATTACGAAAGCGAAAACACACTAAAATTGATAGCATTGAAAATCAGTTGAACTATTACCGATTTTTAGGCAACGCGTGTTGTAAATGAACATTATAAACATCTTGCGACGTTCACACACATACACCTAGGCATCAACCATTCATGCGTGCTGACGTAGAAACCGAGCGTACCCGAAACTAATTTTAACATTACGAAAGAAACAATAAGTTTTTAAAGATATAAAAATAAAACAATAAAGTTTAGTGGACACACAACAGCCCCTGGTGTTTCAATTCGGTATCCGAAAATAGGTATTTTAAGCACTTGTGGTAGTAATTTGGGGAATCCTGCCGAGGTGACAGCTGTTGGTCGGGTAAAAGTCGGTGTCTGATCCGGTTACGTATACCCGTCTAGGAAAAACAAAAACAATTAGTTTGAATTGTCATGCGAAGGGGTGATGATGACCTAGACTATTATTTTTTCTGAAGACACAACTCGACACTTCTTATGTTGTTGATGGTGCTAACTCAAAGTGGCGATAAGATGCCGATTGTACATAACCTCGTCTGATATAGGGTCTATTAGAAAACGGATGTCCCTCTCCCAATTGGTAAACAAAATCTTTGTGTTTGGTTCCGTGCAATGAACCGCCAACTTTTAAACTTATCATTGCAGGATGTCGGACTCCAGAACCACCTGGTTAATTGTTCATATTTTGGAATAACATCTCGAAAATTTATCGCTCGGATAATTCGTGGTTCTCAGTTGTGCCAAGAGCCTAATTAACCCTCTTCACTTACCAAGATGGTTCCCAAGCCGTTCAAGTTAAAACTTCGCATTTCCTTTCATTAGGTTCTTTATTAATTACTATTTAAATATTTTTATTTTTTGTATTAAATACTACACAATTCACTTATTTATAATTAAATTTAATTGAAAATTACTTTTCAATTGTATCGCTTAACGGTTAAATACATTATTTCATATTAGAGTGCAGTTCAGGTATAATAAGCTCATGTTAGCGAGGATCTTGTTTGTGCCTTAGTTAACGCAAAAGGGAATCCATGTTGAGCATACTCAAAAATTCCGAGGTTCAAGGGTCTTATAGGAACCTAACCGCACACACCGACCATGGTTTTCCCTCTAGTGTGAGTGATTCGCTTTGAGTGTGCGTAGCAGTCGGGGGAGATTCTAAAAGAAGTTGGAAAAAACAACAGAAAAGCGTACCCGGAAGTTTAATGAAAGAAACATGCTTGGACTAGATGGTTTTGGCAGCGCATTGGCGGGTCATGTTTCTATTACAACTGAAGATATCTAACCAAATGATTTTGTATATTGAAGGGCAAGGTACATGGTGCATGTCTGCCTGTGCTGCCTTCACGACCTTCAGGGAGGATAACTGTAGCATAAGCGCATAAGCTTCCACTTGGAGTATTTTGCGAACTTCATACCGGGCATGGCCAGCTCCCGTTTAGGGTCGTCGGTGCCAATGCACACTCGCTTAACACAGTTTGCTCAGTTTTCACTTCGAACCCTCGTCTGTCGGAAGTGGTGCTCCGGATTATCGGTAACAAATATGAGTTTAACAAGCACGCGCATTATTGCTTAGGTTCGTCTCTGATTAGTTAGTTACACGCATAAAAAAAACAAAACGCAGTTAACACATCGAATACATCAAATCAATGGAGGCTCACAGTTATTTATCTTACATACACACATACGTAAATAGGATCCAACAATGTTACAAGAAGGTCCGCAATTGATTAATTACATGCTGACTCTTAGGACTCCATTTTGTTTTGCTTATATGTATTCATTAATTCATAGGTACATACACACACACACAACGGATTTATTTTGATTTTGATGTCAAGATTACTTTTATTTCATATTTCATATTTCTTTTTCTTTTAATTTAAGGTAACATCTTGAATACTTTTACTTTGCTTCTAGAATCAAAGCGAAGAGAGAAAATTTTAAAATTTTTCTCAATTTGCAATCAAATATCGTTTTACTCAAGCGTGCGGAACTTTCGACGCGCAGCGGTCCTAACCTCATTTTGCACCGATTTGTATGATTTTTTTATTTTATTTTATTTAATTTTTTTATTTTTAACGCTTTTGGTGGTTTATTCTACTTGGTTCTGATGAAGTCCTCTCATTTCGATTGTGCAAGGTAAAACGGTAATTGTATTGTTACAAGTATGTGAATATTTCCTTACCAGCTAATTACATTACAGTTGGATTTGTGTGAATGGATTTCCTGTGTATGTTTGTACGCTACATAACGCATTTCTACATAATGAGTGTGAGTGTATATGCATAAATCATCCATTCGATTCAGGGAACGGATGAACCAGCTTTGTTCGATTTCAATCTCTAAAATCTAAACTGAAAACGGTATATGGTGCAAGTAACTCGAAGAGTCGACAACATAAGCTATCTTTTCGTAACAAATGTATAACTCCATATAGAAATGAAGTGGTTGTTGTTGTTCTAACGGGTACCTAGTCCTCGTTAGGATGGTAAGGGTTAGCCAAGTCGACATCATCTGACGGAGGGCCGAATAAACGTGCTGTTTCGACGAGGTCGGTCAGTGCTTGTCGGAAGTTTGTTGCGTCCGAAGTGTGGTCGGCGTAATAGAGGAATGACCTCTTCATTTTCCTAGGAGGCGGCTCCGCTCCAAGCAGATGACTGCAGGGGTGATTTATGCGAAAGCATCCCAGTGGAGAGGAATTCATTACGTTTCTTAACTGGGAGAATACGGACCTCACTATGAGGCGCTCGATAGGGGACATCAAGAGGCATCCTGTCCTAATCTGCATTCCACTGCATCCAGGCGACCATATTGGTGCGGCGTAGATGAGGAAATGGTCATGACCTCTGGTTGGCTGATATGTTTTAATCTAACTAATTCACATAACGGTCCAGTTTCTATACTATTAGTTCAAGTGCAATAACAAGACGGTGCCTAAATGAAGCTGCCGTTTGTGGTTAAACATCTCAGCGCCAATTTGACGGAACTTAGGGACATAGACTCATATATGGGATCGGGTAGCCACTGACCGACCAACTGACTTAACATTCGTGTCAAAATCCTTCCCCATAAGCGCTACTGAGCACAACTCACCTAATGGATTAATATGTCATCTAACTCTCAAGATGCTTGGCGGGTTTTACTTGGTACCGTTGCTCGGTAGTATGAAAGCACTGAGTTGCCTCTGGTGGCAACGAACAAAACTGAAGCAAATAAACGAATTGCATTGAAATACATGCACTTCTCGATTCTACCGTTATTTTTATTTTGTTTTCTCGTTTGTGGCTCAGAATACCTCGCTTTTCTTGTCCGAGACATCTATGTTCGTGTGTTTGAGTTAGAAATAACGGAAAATAACGGTACAAATGGCGTGTATTTCTATCCCAATTATGTGTTGATTTTACCCATGAATAATTTTGTTAATTTTTAATATTTTTGTTTTTATTTAAATTTTACTTACGTCGCTTACAACTTCTTTGTTAAGATCATATTAATTGTTTAATGGCAATTAAAAATAAATAATACAAATTATTTTATTTATAACAAATATGTTTGTGTATGTATGTGTGCGTGTGTTTATCTTCGCAAACCGTAGAGGACCTCGGTCCATTTCAAATGAACTACCACCTTTGAAGTGTCCAGTTCGCACTATAATGTTTCTATCTTTCATATTTTGCTTTCTTTTGCCTCTAGTTCTCTCATTATCAATCTCGTAATGGCCTGCATCGCTGAAACTTTTAATTACACTAATAAATAAGTTTATGTTTGGTTTTGTTGTGTTTTGTTTTTACTTTTTGTTGCTTTTAACTATTTACTTTTTATTTTTAAGGTTTATATTCGCCTCGACGGCTCACTGTGCTGAGACTTCGTATGTTGGCTTTCTTCTATTTCTTCTTTTTCTTTTTGCTCTGATTGCGAGAGCAGCGTTTAAGCATTTAAATTAACTGTTTTTACTTGTATTTGTTGTGTTTATTTCGCAAAGCTTTTGCTTGAGAATGGCAGAAAAGCAGTGTGTATATGTATGTTTGTAAGCAAAAGAAAAGTTTTCAAGCGCCTGCCTCACTTGTATACTTGTATATACATATGCATGTATGTTTGTATGTAGGCGGCGAGCGCGTGCATCCCGGCGCGAAATGCTGTTGTCAGATTTCGGAAACATGCAAGCCTCGTGTCAGTTCCGAGAAATCTATATGAAAATCCTTCTCTGATTGGAAGAAGACTGATGTTTTCTGTCTACTTCGATTCCGGACGGGAGTTTCTACATTTCCTGACTAGCTGAAGCTCTTTGCAAGGATGTATTGGCTTCTCTGGCGTTCGCCATGTTCAGTATATACATACATACATACATACATAGGCATACTATACTAGTATACAGATACATAAGTATTTTCTTGCTTCAAACATATTTCTTGTGCTTACAATTCAATACATATGTTTTGTGAATAAATATGGATTTGTTTAAGTCTAGTATTATGCTATGCTCTTTTAGTTGTTGTTGCTGATACACTTGATGTATTTGTAAATTCTGTTTCTGCTTCTGAAGTTACTTTAGTGGTTCCCCCCTCCTTTGACTTTTAAAATGATTGACTATTGTATTTTAGTGCGCTGCTCTTAATGTTGTTACTGGTGTTGTTGATGCTGCCGCTGCTGTTGCTGTTGCTGTATTCCTAACTACACGTACTAATGGCGTCTGCTGCAGCTTCAGTTGGGTTTTAATTAAATTATTAATGATATTATTAGTAGATTTATATTGCCACCGCTTTTAGAGTGACATAGTTGTAGTTGTAGTTATTGTTGTGTATGTGAACTTCGCACGTGAGCGCTTGTGGCGGTCAGTGTGTGTGTGCTTAGCTGTGTGTGTGTTTGCTTGGAACTCAGACTTTTTATCGTGTATCGCTAATGTTGTTTTTGGTACCAAAGATTTTGATAAGCTGCGTCTCGTAGTCGTCAATGTTGCGCTTCATGATCTCCATGCACGGGCCCAGCAAGCGCTCGAATGCTCGCACCTCCAAGACTAAATAATGGGAATAGAGAGAATTGTGAGCAGAGGTTATTTAAATATGCCTAGCGAAATTCAAAAGTTAATTTAAATATTTTTTGTTCTTGTTGTTTTATTATTTGCTTTTAGTGTGCCCGCATGCACAACAACTTTTCCGCTGGTTTTCAGTTGCCAATTACACACAATTCTTATGTTACAAACAAATCTTCACTCGCATGCTGCAGTTCGTTGAAGTAGGATTAGGTGGAAGTGTCCAAAGCAAAACAGAAAATTCATAAAATCATAAAATCATAAAATATAACATAAAATCAAGTACAAAATTAACAGATTCCCATTTACAGAATTAGTGAAAACACAGAAAGAGTTCAGCACCCTCACTAGAAAGTTCTTACATACATATTTACAATTGTAACGGGATTTATATATGCGAGGCGCATTTGCACTTTATGACTGTTGAGTTTGATCAATTGAAGTTTCGGTGCAAATATACTTATAACGGCATACATATGTATATGAATAATAAACAAGTAAGGAAGGGCTAAGCTCGGGTGTCACCGAACATTTTATACTCTCGCATCAAATACCGTATTTGTGTAAAGTTTTATTCCGCTATCATCATTGATTCCTAATGTATATATTATACAGAGAAGGCATCAGATGGAGTTCAAAATAACGTTATATTGGAAGAAGGCGTGGTTGTGAACCGATTTCACCCACATTTCGTACATGTCATCACGGTGTTAAGAAAGTATTATATCGAATTTCATTGAAATCGGTTGAGTACTTCCTGAGATATGGTTTTTGGTCCATAAGTGGGCGACGCCACACCCATTTTAAATATTTAAAAAAAGCCTACGTGCAGCTTCCATCTGCCATTTCTTCCGTAAAATTTAGTGTTTCTGACGTTTTCTGTTAGTCGGTTAACGCACTTTTAGTGATTTTCAACATAACCTTTGTATGGGAGGTGGGCGTGGTTATTATCCGATTTCTTCCGTTTTAGACCTGTATATGGAAATGTCTGAAGGAAACGGCCGTGTAGAGTTTGGTTTACATAGCTGTAGTAGTTTCCGAGATATGTACATAAAACTTAGTAGGGGGCGGGCTCACGCCCACTTTTCCAAAAAAATTACGTCCGAATATGAAACTCCCTAATGCGATCCTTTGTGCCAAATTTCACTTTAATATCTTTAT